GGGTGACTGAGACTTTTTTGTTTTTTAATGTTTTTATTGATCTCAGAGAGGAAGGGAGAGGGAGAGAGGAAAACATCAAGGATGAGAGAGAATCATGGATCGGCTGCCTCCTGCATGTTCCCTACTGGGGATTGAGCTCGCAACCCGGGCATGTGCCCTGACCAGAAATTGAACCGTGACCTCTTGGTTCATAGTTCAGTGCTCAACCCCAGAGCCAGGCCGGCGGGTGGTGATGGGGCTTTTGAGGAGCGGGCTGAGTGACAGCCTGTGTATTTGGGTTTTTATAAATCAGAAGTCAAATGCCTATGGGCACCCCCATTCCACTGCCTCAGTCCACGCTCACGCTCCCCTCGGACCTTAAGGTCCCTCGCTGAGGAGTTCCCCAGGCTGTGCAGGCTGTGTGAGCCGTGGGTAGGGCCATGTAATACATCATCAAAGCTGGTACCTCGGGAGTGGAAGGAGGAGCTACTAATAATGATGCCAGGCAGCAGACACAGTGGAGGCGGGCCCAGGACATCTGGTCTCCCCAGTTACGGTCAACACAGGCTCAACAAGCAAAGGCAGATGCGGAGCCGCCCTGGAGGCTGGAGGGCTGGTGTTCTGTGATGCCCCGGGGCAGGAATGGGTGGGGGGTGGAGCCGGAGGCTGCCATTCTGTGCTCCTGAAGAGCTGAGGAAAGAGTCAGACACCATGCGATCCACGCGGGATGAGATGAGGCCCCAAGGAAGACGGGAAATGAGTGAACGCACTGTCGCCGTGTCCGCGGCCGTGGGAAGGAGGAACAGGGTGACTGGCGCCGTAAGAGCGCCATCAGCTGACATTGAACCCACTCGGTGGTGCCGGGTCCTGGCAACAGCGGGCGGTGCCAGCCTCGCCCTCCACCAGAGCCTGTGCCTGAGTTAAACTCTCCCTGGAGGAGACGGGTTCTCTGCTTCCCCTTCAGCAGAGCCCAGGGTCCCAGCCCTCCGGAGGCTGCCATTCTGTGCTCCTGAAGAGCTGAGGAAAGAGTCAGACACCATGCGATCCACGCGGGATGAGATGAGGCCCCAAGGAAGACGGGACGCGCTTCAGAGCAGGCAGACAGCATGAGCAGATATGTGCTGAGCGCCTCCTGCAGGCCAGGCCGGGTCTAGACACCAGGGGCCAAGCAACCAGCACAACAGACAAACCCCTCTTCACGGAGCCTTCCTGCCGGGCAGGGGCGGAGGGTACAGAAATACACCACACAGGTCCAATACAGAGCACACAGAGGGGCTAGTGCTTTGTGGGGAAACAGGGAAGGAGGGTGGGAAATAATCAAAGATTGCCTTTTCAAAAAATATTTTCATTGATTTCAGCTGACCCAGCTTCCCCCCTGCAGTCCGCCTCTCCAGCGACAGGTCTACCCTGCAGCTGCTGGACCCGGCCACGGGGACCTGGGCCTCTGCCTGCTTTGACGGCTTCACAGGAGCCCTGGCCCAGACCGCCTGTGGGCTGATGGGCTTTCACAGGTACCCAGCCCAGCCTCCGAGGCGGCCACCTCCCCCTGGGGCCTCCCTCCTTCGCTGTGGTCCTCCCTCTTCCCCTCTGCTTCCCACTGACTTCCTTCTCACCTCCTTTCCTGAAAGCCCAGGTGTGGGGCAGACAGACGGCACACACAAGCCTCAGTTCAGGCTCCAAAACCCCAGCTCGCTCAGGAGCCGCCGGGAAGAGCAGTGCCAGCCTTGTGGGGTGCACGTGAGGTGCCAGGGAGAGTCGCGCCCACACACCCCAATTCCTTGGCAGCCTCCCTTGTCCTTCACTCCCAGCCTCACCCCTTATCCTGCAGCCCGTCCCCCCCAAAAGGCAGTCCTCTGGTCAGATTTGGTTTGAACAAACTCGATTTCCCTGGGGTTCCATCAGCAATCCCTGCTCTCTCAGCAAATTCAAAAGCCGTCCCAGGTGATGGGTGGTGAAGAAGGTTGTAATTATAAGGGGACGAGCATTATATATTTATATTCATCTGATCTTGGCAAAAGCCAAAAAAGTATTACTATATCTATTTTAAATTTACTTTTAATTGATTTTAGAGGGGAAGGGAGAGGGAGAGAGAGAGAAACATCAATGATGAGAAAGAATCATTGATCGGCTGCCTCCTGCACACCCCACACTGGGGATGGAGCCCACAACCCAGGCAGAAGATTGCCTTTTAAATGGGGGCTTCCGGAAGGCCTCACGAAGGGGGTGATGGACAGTTTGAAAGGACGAGGAGCAGCCACATGGCAGTGAAGAGGAGGAGATGACCACTGCCTTGCAGAGCCCTGCGCAGCTCCGGCTTCAGTTCCCCCTGGAAACTTTTCGCTTGGCCTTCCCTGCTGGCTACCTGCAAGGGAGGGGCACGGGGAACCCCGTCTGCTATTCTTGGGAATACCCAAGAATTAGCTTTCAAAGCCTCGCCCGCGGGCCCTCCCCGCAGATAGTGTGAGATGGACAGTATAGTCTTGTTCCCCCTCCTTTAAGTTCCCACCTGGTCTCCTGGGCCCCCGATTCTTGTTCCAACTCATCTCCTCCCCGAGGGAGGATGCGTCTCCTTAAATATTCATGCGTTCTGAGGCTCAGCTTCCCGTGGCTCCTCGCTGCCTTCAGGCTAAACTCCAAACCCCGGATGTGGTCTTCACGGCTCTCCACCAACGAACTCT